TGCGCGTCCCAGGACCCAGTTCTTTTCCAGCTAGCAGAAGCCCTTCCTGAAAAGTTTTCAGCTGTGAATTTTTGTTGTTGTTGTTGTTGTTGCTTAACATTGAGCAAAACCGTGTATTTGTAGATGTTAGATGTGAGAGGTCTTTGGTGCATGATGAGGGAGGCATTTTGGAGAGAGGGGTTCTAGTGTACTCGGAATGTGAATTCATAACTGGTTTCTGCTCTCCTCCCAGAGACTTGGTTTTCATGGTTCATGTGTCGGAACTTGGGAATGGCGTTTGGTCAGAGCAGACGGGAGGGGCACCCCCTGAAGAGGACAAGTACGCGAGACGGAAGTCAAGTTGGGGGCCACCGTGCGCTCCCTTCTAGGGGAAGGTCGGAGTCTAGTCCCGAGGCTGGCCTCTCTGTTTTTAGAACTCCAAGTCCGTTCCCTTTCCCCTCCTGGCTGGCTTCTCCAGCTGCAGAGAACACGCAGCTCAAAGAGGCCTTTCCCCCAGGGGGCCAACGAAGGGCGTTTCTTGGGCAGAGGGCAAACACAGCCATTCACGGCAGATTTATGGGCCCAGAAGGACATTTCAGCCACTGCCTCTTGGAGATTTTTGTTCCCAGATCAGCCAGCCTAACAGAGTGAGCCCACGGGTTCAGTCATCCTTGGGGTCCCAGCCGGGGATCTCTGATGGCGTTTTTTAAATCTACAAGAGTTGTGACACTAAATCTGTGTGTGTGTTCTCAACACCAAGAAATTCTCCAACTCTCTGACGCCAGCTGAGGGCCCTACCATTTCATTCACTCCTGACACCGACCCCCGGGGCTAGCACAGAGCTCGTAGTTAAGGGCCCAGCCCCACAGGACTGCCCCCTAGTTCTGTTGCCGGTCACAGCCCCAGGTTGCCTGCGCCTGCACTTCTGACCTAACAGCTATAGATAGGGGATGCCCACAGTGCCCCCCTTAGGTCTGGCCATTTGCTATAATGGTTCATAGAACTCAGAGAAACACTTGACAAATGACAGCCAGATGGACGGGTACTTGGGGTGAGACCCAGAAGGACCCCAAGCACAGGATCTTCTGTCCCCACGGAACTGAGACATGTCACTCTCCTGGCACCTGGCTGTGTTCCCCAACCCGGAAGCGCTCTGAACCCTGACATTTGGGGCATTTTCGGAGGTTCCATCACATAGGCACATAGGCGTGGCTGGCCCTCTCCCCTCCCTGGGAGTCCAGGGGCGGGGCAGGAAGTCCCAGCCCTCTGGTCACATGGTTGTTTCCTCTGGCCTCCAGCCCCCCCGTCCTGAGGCCACCTGGGCATCCACCTGGAGGCATCTCGTTAACATGAACTTGATGGTTGCTTGAATGGGGCTTATTATGAATTTTATAAAAAAGGTGTTCCTCTTTCCCCTATTTCTCAGGAAATTCCAAGGGTTTTAGTTTTAGAAGAACTTGTGCCAGGAACCTGGGACAAAAACCAGATATAGATTTCTCATTATATCACACTACCCCAGGTCACTGTGGGATTCTGGGCTCGGATGGGCTGAGTCCTCCCCTTGCCATGAAGTCATTTGAGAGGCTGGAGTGCCATCTACCCTGAAAACCCAGGTGGCACAGGCAGTGACGAGGCAAAGGAAGCCCCGGTGTAACCCGAGTAGCTCGCTTAGGGGCACCACGCTGAAACCTAGTGGTCGTACAACAGGTTACCAAGTGGTAACCCAAAGGGTTAGGGCTTAACAAAAAGAAAAGTTCTGTATCTTAGCTAAATTCATAACTCGTGTCTGCTACAAACATTAAAATGTACAAACGTCTCCTCCTCTTCCTCGTGGTAACTGATTTCCGCTCCCCAGAGGCCACCTCTGGTTAAACTATCTTGTCTATCCTTTTAGAGGAGATGCGTCCAATTAAAATATAAGCGTATTTCTATTCTTTTTCCCTCCTACGCCCTCTGCTCCAGGCCCTTTTCCCTTGTCAGTGTAGCGGAGACACGTCCCGTGTCCATACGACGCCTGGCTCCCTCTATTAGGTATATGCTACTGCACAGCTTATTTTTTCTTTCTCCATGTGTTTACTGCAAAATACATCACACTTACAGAAGACATATTTAAAGCACACACACATTAAACCAAAATAATAAAGTGAACATCTGCGTGCCCACCCCCCAGGTTAAGGAGTGAAAGATTAGGACCTTAGAAGCCCCACGCGCCCTCCCCGGTTGAAGCCCCCTCAACCCCACAGCTGTCCTGACTTTTGTGACAATCATTCTCTCGGTTTTCTCGGTAGTTCTACCACCTGTGCACAACCTCTAATAGCCTATTATTCAGTTTTGCCTGATTTTGACCGTCGTGGACGTGGAGTCAGTGCTGTAGACTTCAGCGTCACCATTGGGATCCGTCTCTGTGATGCATTAGCCCCATTCATTCTCGCCACCACGCAGCTGTCCGCTGCGGGAATGCCCTCCAGGGCCCACCCCTCCTATGCCAAGAGGCCTTGGGCTGCTTCCGTGCTTTTGTTCTTCGGGGCCACACTGCTGCAAACATTCCTGTACGTGCTGTACGTGAGCAGCAGTTCCCCAGGTGTGAACTAGGAGCGGGACTGCTGGCACGTCCAGTTCCCGTAGGTAATGTGAGACTCTTCCCAGCAGCAACGCGGAACATGGAGTATTTTCTGGTCACCCACACGCCGGGTGTTTGGACTGCAAGTGTGTGAGGGCTGTCTTGTGATTACAGCTGCTCGGGGCGAGTTCTTTTTGTGTCGCTAGCTGCTCAGTGACAGGGGCTGAGACGTTTGATTTTTCTCGCAGGTGGCTCTCGGGGGTGCGGAGAGGTAGGCGGGGTTCGTTTCTGTTTCACGCTGAGGGCGGGCGCACCTTGTTTTACTGTGTGTCACTTTTCCGCACTCCGCAGCCATTGCCTCGTCTGCAGATCGAAGGGCTGTGGCAGCTCTGCGTTGAGCAAGTCTGTCAGCTGTTTCTCCAGCAGCGTTTGCTCCTTTGGCGTCTCCGAGTCACAGTTTGCTAATTCTCGCTGTATTCCAAACTTTTTCGTTACTATTACATTTGTTAAGGTGATCTGTGATCAGTGGTGTTTTGAAACTACTATGGTAATTGTTTGGGGTGCCATGAGCCACACGCATACAAGGTGGTGAACTCAATCGATACACGTGTGTGTTCTGACTGCTCCACCCACCAGCCGTCCCCCATCTCTCTGCCTCGCCTCAGGCCTCTCTGTTCCACGAGACTCAACTCTATGTTGCAATTAGGTCAATTAGTAACCTGCACTGGCCTCTAAGTGTTCACTGAAAGGAAGATGAACCCATCTCCCACTTTAAGTGAAAAGCCAGAAATGATTAAGCTGACCGAGAGAAGGTTAAGTCAAACACCAAGATAAGCTGAAAGCTAGGCCTCTTATGCCAAATAGTTAGCCAAGCTGCGAAGACAGAGGGAAAGTTCTTGGAAGGAAGTTAAAAGTGTTACTCAGTGAACACACAAATGATAAGAAAGCCAAAGAGCCTTATTGCTGACAGGGAGAATGTTTTCGTGGTCTGGATAGAAAAAAATGAACCCAACCACAACATTTCCTTGAGCCACAGTCTAGTCCAGAGCAAAGCCCTAACTGCTTTTGATTCTAGAAGGCTGCGAGAGGCAAAGAAGCTGCAGAGGAAAAGTCTGGGGCTGGCAGAGGCGGGTCCTTGCGGCTCAAGGAGAGAAGCCGTCTGGAGGCGCTGCCGCGAGCTTTCCAGGGGATGGGCTGAGATCATTAATGACGGTGGCTGCACTGAACAGGTTTTCAGTGAAATAAAAAGCCTTATATTGGAAGGAGATGCCATCTAGGACTTCCGTAGCTGGAGAGGGTAGTTCTACCCTCAGTGCCTGGCTTCAAAGCTTCAGAGGACAGGCTGGCTCTCCTGTTAGGGGCTGATGCAGCTGTGACTTTAAGTTGAAGCCAGTGTTCATCACCATTCCCAAACTCCCAGGGCCCTACGCATCACGCGAGGGCTACTCTGCCTGTGCTCTGTGAGGGGAACAACACAGCCCGGGTACCAGCACATCTGCTTATAACATGATTGACTGAGTATTTTAAGCCCACCATTGAGACCTGCCACTCAGAAAAAAAGATTGCTTTCAAAATGTTACTGTTCACTGACCATGCACCTGGTCACTCAGAAGCCCTGGGGGGGATGTACAGTGAGTTTCATGCTGTTGTCATGCCTGCTAACACAGCATCTGTTCTGCAGCCCGTGCATCAAGGAGGCATTTTCACTCTCAAGTCTTATTATTTAAGAAATACATTTCGTGAGGCTACACCTGCCGTAGGTAATGATTCCTCTGATGGATCTGGGCAGAGTAAATGGAACACTTCTGGAAGTGACTCGCCATTCTAGAGGCCATTAAGAAAATGCACGATTCACGGGAAGAGGCCAAAATACCACCATTAACAGAAGTCTGGAGGAGGTGGGTGCCAGCCCTCGTGGCTGAGGGGCTCAGGACGTCAGCGGAGGAAGAACTGCAGCTGTGGTGGAGTGGCGAGCGAACTAGAATAGGATGGGGCCTGCAGGTAAAACCGAGTTGCTGAAATCTTGTGATAAGATGAGTTGTTTCTTGTGAACGAGCCAAGAAAGTGGTTTCTCGAGATGGAATACACTCTTGGTGAAGACGCCGTGACGACTGCTGAAATGACAACGAAGTACCTGGAATATAACGTAAACTCAGTTGATAGAGCCGTGGCAGGGTTTGCGAGGATTGACTCCAACTTGGAAAGAGGTTCGCTTGTGGGTAAAATGCTACCAAACAGCATTGCATGCCGCAGAGAAATCGTTTGTGAAAGGAAGAGTCAGTCAACGCGGCAAGCTTCACTGTCACCTTATTTTTTTGTTTGCTTAGTTTTTATTAAATAACCATAAATTTAACTCTGCAATCCAGCTAGACTTGGAAGGGTAAGGAAAACACGGAACCCAATGAGCTGAGGTGAGAGCATGGAGATTATAGAACATTCGAAGCAGAAGCGGGTGAGGGGGTGCTCTCCTGAGCTACAGAAGGAGTGGTCTGCTGGTTAAGATAAAACACAAGTCAGGTTTGTTAAAGTCGGTCACAGCCAGTAATGGTGCTCTTCCAGCTGGCCTTGCCATTCCGGGACCTGCAGCGCTGCGTGGCTGTCACAATGCTCGCCGTCCAGCCACTTGGTCTCAGCAGTGCAGCTGAAACACCGGGGTCCAGCACTTGCCATGGACAAGACGCCAGGACCTGTGTGCTTCAGGACGAACTTCTCATCATCAAATTTCTCCCCATAGACGGGCTTGCCGCCTGTGCCGTTGTGGTGTGTGAAGTCACCACTCTGGTCATGAATCCCGGAATAACTCTCTGAAAGCAGGAAGCTGCATAACCCAAACCTTCCTCCCCAGTGCTCAGCACACAAGTTTTTTGCTGTCTTTGGGACTTTGTCTGCAAACAGCTCCAAGGAGACACGGCCCAAGGGCTCGCCGTTGGCAGAGGTGTCAGAGGACATCGTGGGGTTGACCGTGGCTGGGAGCGGGAAGATCCGAGACGGCGTCCTCATCTGCACGGTGGGCCATTGTCTTATTTTAAGAAACTGCCACAGCCAACCCAGCAGCCCTGATCAGTCAGCAGCCACTGAGGCAAGACCTCTACCAGCAAAAAGATTACCACTCGCTGGGGGCTCAGATGATGGTTAGCAATAAAGTATTTTACAGATAAAATGTGTACATCGTGCCCTGGCTGGTGTGGCTCAGTGGATTGAGCGATGGCTTGAGAACCAGGGTGGTGCCCCTTGAATTCCAGGTCAGGGCACAGGCCAGGGTTGCAGGCCAGGTTCCCAGTAGGGGGCGCAAGAGAGGCAACCACACATTGATGTTTCTCTCCCTCTTCCTCCCTTTCTCCCTCTCTTCCCTTGTGTCTAAAAATAAATAAAATCGTAAAAAATGTGCATTGTTTTCTCTTAGAGACAATGCTATTGCACATTTAATAGACTATAATATAGTGTGAGTATAACTTTTATATCCACTGGGAATATAAACGTGACTTGCTTTATTGTGATATTTACTTCATTGCTGTGGTCTGGAACCGAACCCACAATATCTCCAAGGTGTGCCTTTGGAAGTCCCAACTCCACCTGGGGGACCCAGACTTCTCGCCTGTGTCCCTGTGTCCTTTGAGATCTTCACCTGGTTCTGCAGATGCCCTCAGAACAAATGCTTCTGTGTTTACTTGTCTCTTGGTTTAGATTTCAGCCCCAGTATTTCTCATTTTCTTGCTGACAATGCTATTGGGAACATTTGTGTGTGTGTCTTGCTCACACACATACGCACATGTATTTCATTCAGCATTTTTAGTTGTTTTCAAGAGAAGGGATGGGTGGTTATCTAGCCCAGCTGGGAAATCTCTTGTTTAAAGTAGCGCTTTGTATTCAGGGTCCTTGTATCCCTAGGAAAGGGGCTTTCACTCCCACAGGCCTTCGGCTCTCGCACTTGGGAATAAGGCCACTGACACCGCAGTGGAAGTGTGGAGGTAGGTGGGCTCCCTCCCCAGAGGCAGGGAAAGGCCCCCGCAGGCTCTCCTGCTCCTGAGAGGGGGGTGAGCTCTTTTGTTTTCTCTGTTCTCTAGTTCGTTCATCTTTACTGTTACTCTTCATTATTTCATGTTTTCTGTTGTTGGCTTTAGGTTTAGTCTGTTCTACTTTTCCTAGTTCCTTAATTGTAATGTTAGGTTATTGATTGAGTTCTTTCTTGTTTTTTCATGTATGTAGCTGTAGATTTTCCCTTAATATCGCATTTACTGTATTCCGTAAGTTTTTGAATTTTGTGTTTTCGTTTTCATTTGTCTCTAAGTATTTTCTTATTTCCCTCTTGATTTCTTCTTTGATCTGTGGATTGTTTAAAAATGCCTTGTTTAGCCCTGGCTGGTGTGGTTTGGTTGGTTGGAGCGTCAGCCTGCGCACCGAAAGATCAGGGGTGTTCCATTCCCGGTCAGGGCACAGACCCGGATGGCGGGGTCTGCCCCTGGTCCAGGGGCATCTGCAAGGCAGCCGATGGATGTTCCCCTCTCTCTCTCTCTCTCTCAAATCAATAAAGGAATCCTCAGGCAAGGATTCAAAAATGTGATGTTTAATTTCCACAAATTTTGGAATTTTCCAGTTTTCCTTTCGTTACTAATTTCTGACTTTGTCATGTTGTTGTCAGAGAAGATAGTTTGTATTTGTCTTTTAAAATCTGTTGGGACTTAGTCTGTGGCCTAACGTGTGGTCTGTCCTGAACAACACCCCACGTCCCCTTGGAAGCAGTGGGCATTCTGTTGTGGGGGAGGGCGTCCTCCACACGGCAGTCAGATACAGCTCGTCGTCGTTTTGTGTTTGTCCTGTTTTCCTAGCTGCCTTCTCTCTGTTTCATCCAGCACTGTTAGTGGGGTACTGAAGTCTCCCAGCTATTATTGTAGAATTAATCTGTTTCTCCCTTAAATTTTGTTAGTTTTTGTTTCATGTATTTTTGTGGTCTGTCATTAAATGTGTACATGTTTATAACTGCTCTATTTTCTTGTTGCATCGAACCCTTTATTAATCTAGAATGTGCTTCTTTGTCTCTTACAAACGTTTTGGATGTGAAGTCCATTTTGTCTGATATTTTTATAGCCACTCCTGCACTCGTTCGGATTCCGTGCGCATGGGATGTCTTTCCGTCCTGTCACTGCCAACCTGCGTCTTTGGATCTCCAGCGAGTCTCTGGGGGAGAGCATGGACTTGCATCACGTGTTTTTGTCCATTCTGCCACTCTGTCTGTCGCGTGCTCACCGGCCGGCAGTGAGCGCGGAACGCTGCGGATGGCTCGTCGAGGCGCGAGAAAGACATACACAGAGACAAGCAGTTTCTGTGGGGAAGTAGGGACGGAATGGCCACTCTCTTTGGTGGAAAAGAGCGCCCCGTTCCCCCTCCGGAGAGGCTTTTTATTGGTTTCGTTTGCATAAGAATTCAGGTAAAGCTCATTACTCGTTGCTAGGAAGTAAGGATCAGACAATAGGTAACAAGGAAGTCTGAGGGCCTATTTTGAGTCAGGGTCAAAGAGCTGTAAAAAGGTTTAAGGAACAAATTTTCTTCTTCCTTGGACCCTCATCATTCAACTGAGAGCACTCTAAACAAAGCAGGTTTCACAGGAGTTTACATATTCTTCCTTAGGCCTGATCACCCAGGGAACCTGCCCTTTCCAGCACAGGGCTGCACCACCCTGTCATTGTTTCAGGCTTAGGTGGGCAAGGGGACTAAGGCAACCAAGAGATAAGGAGATTTTCTCCCAGACGATGAGGACTCAAGCTATATCACAGCCGAGGGGCGAGGGTCCATCACCCCCTTTTGCTGTAGTCCCCAAAGTCCTTTCTTGGGGGCCTCCCACGTGATCGTGCCTGTCTTAGGTCGTTCCCCCCTTGGGGAATCTTACCCGTCATTGGCTAACCGACCAAGCATTGGAGGCCAGTTATGGATGAAGCAGCAGAAGCAGTGCTCCTGCCAGGGAGATAAGCTTTTGTCTGCTTGCTGGCTTACAGTCCAAGGCCGCTCCCTCAGCCTTAGCCTTGGTGGGGGTTACAGCTTCTGATACCAGGCAGGGCGGTCCCCAGCATCTGTCTTCTGACTGGAGAGTTTAATTCACTTCTACTGTATTTAAAGTGATTATGGATAAGGAGGAACTTACTCCTTTTGTCTTCTATATGCCTTATAGTTTTGTGTCCCTCATTTCCTACATTACCGTTTTTTATGCTTAATTGATTTTTTGTAATGGAATGTTTAAATTCCTTTCTCCTTTCCTTTTGTGTATGTCCTCTCTTTACTGCACGGAAAAACGAACCTTTACTGAGAGCCCGTCGTGTGCCGGGGGCTGAGTGCTGGCCCACCCGTGACCCCCTTGTCTCATGCAGCCTCCCTGCAGCGTGGACGCTCCCAGCAGCAGCCCCGTTCCCTGAAGACCCGGGGGTCAGCCTGCGGAGGTCCCCACTGATTCTAGTCTTGTCCTGGGTCCTGGGGACAGGGCGGGGTGCAACCAGGAGGTTTTCTGTCCACGCAGCTCGTGTTTCATGTATACAGATCGTTAACGATGACCTGAATTTCTGCTGCTTCCACCTGCCGTCTGGCACATTTCGGGGCGCTGCGCGCCGTCCGCGTCAGAGAGTGGGAAAGAGGAGTGCCTCGGTGTGACCGGGAGTCTGGCCGACGCCTTCCAGTCCTTGGCTAATGAAAGCGTAACTCGGGAGGCCAGCCTGGATGGTTAAAAGTCCTGTATTTTAAACATCACATGTGTGCAAATGGTCATAGCAGTGTCACTGACAATAGTCAAAAAATAGAAACAACCCCAATATTTATCAACCCATGGCTGGAGAAGCAAAACGTGGTAGATTCATACACTACAGTGTTACTCAGCCATAAGAAGGAATGCAGTACTGGTACACGCTATACTATGTGCACCTTGAAAACATGCTAAGTGAAAGAAGCCGTACAAAGACTTTGTTTATTGCACATTTTTATATGACCTTTGTATGTATGAAGTGTCCAGAACAGGTAAATTCCTAGAGACAGAAAGTACATTGGTGGTTGCCAGGGGCCGAGGGGAGGGAGAAATGGGGAGAGACTATTAATGGTACTGAGGTTTTTTTTTAGGTGGGGGGTTGGTATTTGATAATGTCTTGGAGTTAGTGGTGATATTTGCACAACATTTTGGGTATACTAAAAAAAACTCACTGAATTGTGCACTCTGGGTAAAATGGCAGGGAAAAAAACACTGAAAAAAAATCTCAGTAGCTAACTGAAAGCTCACTCACATCACACCGGACTCTGAGTTGCCCTGGGTTTTCTGTTGTCTTCCCTGTGCTGCCTCCTTAGCACCTTTGCGCTCCTTCCCCAGTAGCCTCGGACACGCTGCCTGGGGCCTGGGAGCGGGCTCTCGGCTCAGAGCGTCTTGTTGCCCATCAGTTTCAGAAAACTGTCCTTGGCCTGTTCTCTCCTTGCTCATGTTTCCTCCCCGGAACGCTGCTGCTCTGAGGCTGCAGTGAAGAGAGGTAATCCTGCCTGAGGGTTTGAAGAAACGCAGGGAAGTCAGCAAGGTCATTGCCACACTCCTTGTTGCCGTGGTGAAGGCGGGCTGTGTTCCTCACGACACAGAGGAGACAAGTGTATAAATGGATGCGGTTGGGGGCAGTTGAGCCGTGGACCCAGGAAGGCGCACTGTCCTTGGCCGCTGGCCACAGTTCCCCTGTCCTGGGCATGTATTTCTCTGCATGGAGCAGATGGAGTGCGAGTCCCCGCCCAGCGCTGCTGCCTGAGGAGGCTGGAGTCCTGATCCCCCGTGGGAGGAAGAAAGCCCAAGGAGTGAGGCTGCTTGGAGGGGGGTGCTGTGAGGACGGAGGAGTGGCTCTGAGGGTCTTGGAGTGGACAGGAAGCCATTGTTCGGAGTTGGCCCTTTATTCTTTCTGAAACTGCAAACAGGATCCCAGGAGACAGGCCTTCCGGGGAGTGCCACGTTAGGGACCTGGGTTCAGGTCCGTGCCATTTCTTCTGGCCCCCCT